CCCTTCCCCACTCCCCCCCTTCCAACCACTCCCCCTTCCACCACTCCCCCCCCTCCCCCACTCCCCCTCCCCCACTCCCCCCTCCCCCTTCCCCACTTCCACCCTCCCTCCCCCCTCCCCCTTCCACCGCTCCCTCCTCCCCCTCATCCTCCACTCCCTCCTCCCCCTCATCCTCCACTCCCCCTCCCCCCTTCCACCACTCCCTCCTTCCACTACCCCCCTTCCACCACTCCCCACTCCCACTACTTCCCCTCCCTCCTTCCATTACTCCCCCGTCCCCCTTCCACCACGCCCCCTCCATTACTCCCCCTCCCTCTTCCCCACCACCCCCCCTCCCCCCTTCCACCACTCCCCACTCCCCCCCTTTCCACCACTCCCCACTCCCCCCCTTTCCACCACTCCCCACTCCCCCCCTTTCCACCACTCCCCCCCTTTCCACCACTCCCCACTCTCCCCCTTCCACCACTCCCCCCTTCCACCACTCCCCCCTTCTACCACTCCCCCCTCCCCCTACTCCGCCTCCCCCCTTCCACAACTCCCCCTCCCCCCTTCCACAACTCCCCCTCCCCCCTTCCCCTACTCCCCCTCCCCCCTTCCACTACTCCCCCCTTCCACCACTCTCCCCCTCACCCCTTCCACCACTCCCCCCCCCCTCACCCCTTCCACCACTCCCCCCTTCCACCACTCCCCCCCTCACCCCTTCCACAACTCCGCCCTCCCCCCTTCCTCCACATCCCCTCCCCCCACTCTCCCCCTCCCCCCTTCCACCACTCTCCCCCTCCCCCTTTTCCACCACTCCACCCTTCCCATTTCCACTACTTCCCCTCTTCGCTTCCACTATTCCCCTCCCCCCCCCCTTCCGCCACTACCCCCTCCCCCCCCCCCTTCCCTCCACTCCCCTCTCCCCTCACCCCTTCCACCACTTCTTTTTTCCCCTCTTCCGCCTCTTGCCCCTCTCCCCCCTCACCTTTGTTCCATTCCTCCCCCTCCCCCCCCTTTCACCCCTTCCCCCCTCCCCTCCTTCTATCCCTTCCCCCCCTCCCCTCCTTCTATCCCTTCCCCCTCCCCCTTCTATCTCTTCCCCTTTCCATCTCTTCCCCTTCCCCCTTCCATCTCTTCCCCCCCTCCCCTTTTTCATCTCTTCCCCCCTCCACTTTTCCATCTCTTCCCTCCCCCCTCCCCATCTCTACCCTCCTCTCCCTTTCCATCTTTTCCCCTCTCCAACCTTCCATCTCTTCTTCCTCCCCCTTCCATCTCTTCACCCTTCCCCCCCTTCCATTTCTTCCCCCCCCCTCTCTCCTTCTATTATTTCCTCCCTCCTCTCTTCCATATCTTCCTCCCTTCCCCTTCCATCTCCCCCCCTCTTCCAACTTTCCCCCCCTTCCACCTTCCCCCCCCCTTCTTTCCTGCCCCTTCCTCACCTCCCATTCCGGTAAGGGGTTATCCGGCTACACCCGAATCCCCCCCCCCCCATTAACGAATGTGCGATCACTAAGAACTGTAGAGGCATCACACGATATATTTCAGACTTCATGAAAATATCATTGGGGGGTTGATGTCTATAATTACTAATAATTCTTAAAGCATATAGCTTATACCTACCCCGACTAGCCTATGTCCGCCCCGCACCTCAGACTATTTTCCCTGCAAAGTTGGGTGAGGCTTGCCCGAAGCATCTGGTCTCTAATCTTGGACAGACAAATATTCTCCAACTGATATAGATGGATAAAAATGTGAAAAATTCATATTTGTGGTGTAACATATTTGATATTTACATGGCATTTCACTATGAGATTAATTAAATAATTTGCTTCTTTGTCATTGCAGGTAAGACAATAAACTCATCGTGGGACAGAAATTCTACGCGTTTTAAGGTACGTGTCTATTTTCTTGTTATGACCCCATGTAGCCTGAGTGGAATGAGGCTACCCCCAGTAAGAGTCATTCTGCTAACTAGATCAGATTGAGAGGTCAGAGGGAAGATGTTTATATATAATATACTGCTAAACTTGCTAAATATTAACTCCCTTCACACATTCTCTTGTGTCAATTACATTTACAAAACCATGTTCTTAAATGCAAACCATGCTCTGAAACTCTCCCTGGACAAATGTAATAGGACCCATTATCACAACACCAGAAATAAATATCTCTTTGATATCCCCAGGGTCAAACTTAATCTGTGTAAACACTCTATGCAAATTAAGGGACCCAGTCTATGGAACTCACTCCCTAGTGAATTGAAAAGCTGTCAAACTTTTGCCTCATTTAAAAGCAAAACCAAAAAGTACCTAATTTCATCTTCGTAGTTTCCGACACTGAGCTTTAAATTTGATCTGTATCTAGTGTTACCCAATCTCCCAATTTTTATGTACTTAACCCAAACAACCTTATCATTGTGTTCATTGCTGTCTTCTTTTATGTGCTAGCCATATGCTGTATTGTGCCTACCAATTTTTGTCAACTACCATTCACGCTGTCATTGCAATCAATCTGAGCTTCGTATGTGCTTTAATATACCTACAATTTTCTCTCTTCCTTTATTTTTTTTCTTGCCTCGTAACTGTTATCATTTTTTATAAATTTTGCAAGTATTTACCTACTTAAAATTGTCTTAGATTAAGGACCTGCCCGAAACGCTGCGCGTACTAGTGGCTTTACAAGATTGTAATTACTATATTACGTATCCTCACAATCCCAATGTACCTTCTTGTATATATATAAATAAAATAAAATAAAATAAAATATTATAAATATTATGTTTATATATAATAAACGTCAGTGAATAATTTTAAAATGTGAGCAGATGAGCATTTAAATAAGTTACAATGAAATGAGATGTTGATACTTTGGTGAGATGACGTGAGGCTAGCAGGACGTCATGACCTCACTTAAGTCACAGCAGTCGTCAGAGAGGATTGTACATTGATCTCCAGGCAGTAGAAAGAACCCTAACTGTGTGCTCCTTCAAGAGGAAGGAATCAAGCAGGCGTTCATATGTGAAGCCTGTTGGACGACTTAATGTACTCAAGTCAGGAGCAGAAGAGCTAGGAGGCCGTCATAAGGGATCTTCGTGGGATGTCGTAGAGGACGACATGTGGGTTTACAGCAACTGAGTGCTCTCCAGATGCAAATTCTGCAGTAAGCTCATATAACAGGTGTTATAGTGGTTGTCTGTGATTGATCGTCTGCCCAGCAAGTGATTATGCATGTAGGATATACATTTGTATTGTGGCAGTGAGCTAAAGTAAAGACGGTTAGAAATAAGAGAACTTGCTGGAGGGGAGGAGTGGTACATCCTCCCTTGCCGAAGATCAACTGCTGTCAAGTTGACAGCTGACAAGTTGAGTGGGGGAAGCCCCCCCCCCCTTCCCTAGCATCGCGACTGGGGCGGCGGCCCCCCAGTGACGTGTCAAGACATGTTCCCTGAGTGGACTCGCCCAGGTCGGGGGAGGACCATCGCGGCGACGTGAATATTTTCCTTGAATACATTTAATTATGTTTTGTTAGTTAAACATTTTATTACGGAATGATGATCGATTTGCAGGTTTGTGTGGGAGAAGTTAGTGAAGAAACTTCGTACCAGAGGAGGAGTGTATGCTGAACTCCAAGTGTGAGCTAAAACTCATAGTGGGAGCTAAACTGCAAGGTGGAGTAGGACTTCCAGCGAGGGCTGGAATTCCAGAAACATAGTGAATCTTCGAGTAGTGTTGGGAGGTACTCGTTGTTTGTATGAAGCGTTTGGAGGAACTGCAGGAGTACCTTACACGATATTTTAAGGACCCAGATTGTCGATTGTAGTAGGGGACCTCGAATAATGGAACAGAGAAGCATTTGGACCTTGATGGTTTAAGGAAGTGCTTCATTGCGTTTTGGCATGAAAGACCCTTTGCCAAGTGAGAGATTGATGCTTTTTGTTGAGTAAGAAATATGTGAATATTGCATGTGCCAGGTATTGCGGCCTAAAGCAGTGAAGGGAGCAGAAGGCTGTAGACTGAAGTTAAAGCAGCAGCCTGATACACTTATAGGTCGGAGACCTTACCTTATCTACACCTGACACCTGGCCTGATACCTGTCTCTCCTGATAGTTACCAGTCTCTCCCGACCTGCTAATCTGTCTGTCAAGTGCGTGACGTTGTCTGATGCTGAGTTCCTTATATTCATTTGTGCAATGATGCACAGTCTCTCTTATTCTTTAACCCATTATCATAATCAGCTGGGAACGATTCACAAGGTATTTCCATGATGAAATTTGCATGCATTTCGTCGATATCTTTCTCGGTGCCAATGATCTCAAAGGTATTGGTGGTGGTTATAGCACAGTGTTCCCCCGACTGTTGCTATTTGAAAGAGAGACTTGTCCCATGTTACTTCATGGGTGCTGTTTTTTTGGCCTAGTCATTAGTGTGGTTAGCAGTCGGTATATATATATATAAATATATATTCAGCAAGTCCATTAAGGAGCAGTGTCCGGCCAAACGGACCACTGGAAATTGAACTCTGAGCCTGCACAAGACTCCAGTTCTTCCGATCATTCAAACTGAATGGAATTTCAGCTGTGGAACAAATCGCATAATAATATACTAATTATCCAGGCTGCTGCCGCTGACTATTCTGGAGTTCAGTGTAGTGGATAACAAAAAATAAGATAAAATAAAAATAAGTAAAAATAAGTGCTTTTAGGGGGCAAATAAGTAAAATAAGTGCTTTATTCCCCGGTGATAGTTCTTACTCCGTGTTCTCACCCTCGGAACTCGGGGAGAAGATAGAACAAACCACAGAGGTTGTTAAGGAATAACAAACGACCTATAGATCCATATTTACAGTCTTGAGTCTTAACTTGGATATCATATATAACAACTTCAAGAATTTTTACTAAATTATTTAACAGTTATTACTCCACTGAAACTAAACAATCGTACATTTGTTTTTTTTTATATAAATATTTCAACTAGCGTGAAAAAGAAACATTGGATGGAGTGATTCGGCAATGAGCCCAGCCTCCACAATGAGCCCAGCCGCCACAATGAGCCCAGCCGCCACAATGAGCCCAGCCGCCACAATGAGCCCAGCCGCCACAATGAGCCCAGCCGCCACAATGAGCCCAGCCTCCACAATGAGCCCAGCCTCCACAATGAGCCCAGCCTCCACAATGAGCCCAGCCTCCACAATGAGCCCAGCCGCCACAATGAGCCCAGCCGCCACAATGAGCCCAGCCGCCACAATGAGCCCAGCCGCCACAACGAGCCCAGCCTCCACAACGAGCCCAGCCTCCACAACGAGCCCAGCCGCCACAATGAGCCCAGCCTCCACAATGAGCCCAGCCGCCACAATGAGCCCAGCCGCCACAATGAGCCCAGCCTCCACAATGAGCCCAGCCGCCACAATGAGCCCAGCCGCCACAATGAGCCCAGCCGCCACAACGAGCCCAGCCGCCACAACGAGCCCAGCCGCCACAACGAGCCCAGCCGCCACAACGAGCCCAGCCGCCACAACGAGCCCAGCCGCCACAACGAGCCCAGCCACCACATCGAGCCCAGCCTCCACAACGAGCCCAGCCTCCACAACGAGCCCAGCCACCACATCGAGCCCAGCCGCCACAACGAGCCCAGCCACCACATCGAGCCCAGCCGCCACAACGAGCCCAGCCGCCACAACGAGCCCAGCCGCCACAACGAGCCCAGCCGCCACAACGAGCCCAGCCGCCACAACGAGCCCAGCCGCCACAACGAGCCCAGCCGCCACAACGAGCCCAGCCGCCACAACGAGCCCAGCCGCCACATCGAGCCCAGCCGCCACAACGAGCCCAGCCGCCACAACGAGCCCAGCCACCACATCGAGCCCAGCCTCCACAACGAGCCCAGCCACCACATCGAGCCCAGCCACCACATCGAGCCCAGCCGCCACAACGAGCCCAGCCTCCACAACGAGCCCAGCCGCCACAACGAGCCCAGCCGCCACAACGAGCCCAGCCTCCACAACGAGCCCAGCCTCCACAACGAGCCCAGCCGCCACAACGAGCCCAGCCGCCACAAGGAGCCCAGCCGCCACAACGAGCCCAGCCGCCACAACGAGCCCAGCCGCCACAAGGAGCCCAGCCGCCACAAGGAGCCCAGCCGCCACAAGGAGCCCAGCCGCCACAAGGAGCCCAGCCGCCACAAGGAGCCCAGCCGCCACAAGGAGCCCAGCCGCCACAAGGAGCCCAGCCGCCACAAGGAGCCCAGCCGCCACAAGGAGCCCAGCCGCCACAAGGAGCCCAGCCTCCACAAGGAGCCCAGCCGCCACAAGGAGCCCAGCCGCCACAAGGAGCCCAGCCGCCACCACGAGCCCAGCCGCCACCACGAGCCCAGCCGCCACAAGGAGCCCAGCCGCCACCACGAGCCCAGCCGCCACCACGAGCCCAGCCGCCACCACGAGCCCAGCCGCCACCACGAGCCCAGCCGCCACCACGAGCCCAGCCGCCACCACGAGCCCAGCCGCCACAACGAGCCCAGCCGCCACAACGAGCCCAGCCGCCACAACGAGCCCAGCCACCACAACGAGCCCAGCCGCCACAACGAGCCCAGCCGCCACAACGAGCCCAGCCGCCACAACGAGCCCATCACTGAAGTCGTATTCTTGGACATTTCCAAAGACAAGAACGGGGCAATAATTGTATTACCACTGAAGATCTGAAATTTGTGAATCTACTCGATTTTTCAATACTATTTAAGGAATCTATCTAACCTATTCTACCAGAGAGGATTGCATCCGTCGGGGAAATTCAATCCTATGGCTTCAGACAAGCCAGTCGAAGATAATATTGATAAAATAGCAAATAAGAACTCAACATTGGCAGCAAATCGCGCATTCAGGATCGCCTAAGGGGAGAACCAACGTTCCCACCTTGAAACTCAGTCTAGACATTTGATCATGCCGAAGCGGAAGGTGATAATGGATTTAAATGCCTCGGAATCAGCGATGCTGAGGCGTAAAATAATGCTTCAGATGCTTCAGATTTAATCGCTACAATAACAAATGCTAGGAAGAAGTCAGCATTGTTGTAGGAATGCTGATAAGTACCAATACAGTCACTACACTCAAAGCAGAAACATTAATCGTATCTTGTGTGGGGGACAGACATAATAGTGTCCCCTAAATGCCCTAAAGAGAAATATGAACTAAGGAAATATATGGAAAGTTTCAAATAAGCCTCTACAATAAGCCAAACCGCACTGGAGCTGCGTTCAACAACATACACAAAGCTTAAAAACCATAAGCAACTCTGCCATTCAAGTGTAAGTGCTCACCGTAATCGCAAACAGTTGTCAAAAAGAGACCGCATGTTATTCAAACTACTAATATTCGGCTAATGGCAAATGACCTGCAATTAAGACGTATTAACGGCAGTATTCACAACAGTGACCCTTAACACACAGGTATCAGTACCAATTAGAAGCGCAAATCAAATCCATAACAGTGTCATTAGTTCGATTCCTCTCCTCAAAACACTAAATCATACTGACCACCAACAGTCCTCTCAACAGAGGCAAGATGTCCCACTTCAACAGACGAACAGGACGACGGGAATAATAATATCTATACAATAAGATCTAACGAATCTATAAGTATCCATCAAGAAATTAATATGGAAGAATTTTCCCGTTCTCAAACATCCTTGACGTTATCAAGTGATTTTCCTAGTGTGGGTTCTGTGAAGGAGGAACAGGGCGAGGGAACTCCCAGTTCAGACTGGAATGGAACAGCCCAGAAACTATTAAAGAGGAGCAAACAAGACAATCCCCGAGTTCAAGAAGAAATAAAATACTAAATTTACTCTTAAAGAGGACAAAACAAGACATAATGAGAATTAGGATATTGGAAATCAATTTGAGACATTGTTCACCAAGTACCTATTAAAACGCGAAGAGTGCAACAATAACCCTGAAGGATCTGTTCAATGAAACTTCAAAAAACGCAGACCAGCACATAAAAAAATCAGCGTTTCGCCTCACTTGAAAGAAGTATTGATCAATACAGAAGTGTAGCCATTTTGATGAGAATAAGCTAAGAATTCAGTAACATATCTGTACTGGAAAATAAATATGTGCTAGTCATGGCCAGCTAGCCACTTGCATGCTGGCTGCTTAAATGCTCTCCCGAGACAGGAGTCCCATATCATCCATTGAATTTAAAAGAAGTTTAATCGGGATATTCCAACCATCCTTGCTGGGGAAATCGACGCAAGTTATGCAGCATTTTTGAGCCGTACTAATTTGAAAAACGACACCAAAGTGGAGGCTCCTTTATGCTCTAAACTAAACTCTAACTCTCATGGCTCCACCATAAAAATGTCCACAGGGATGCACTAATCAAAGAACACCGATATAATCCTCTCCAACAACGACTGAACAGTCTTCGTTGTAGAGTTATACCAGCAAGTGTTTCGAGATCAGATCACATACAGTACAAACAATAATTCATCTTCAAATGACACCTCTGCCGATTTCTTATAAATCCTCAATCAAATATTAAGCATTAGAAACAAAGAAAGGCATAAGATGTACAGTGACCACAACACAGCAGTTGCAACATCAGGATCTGCGGGTTGGTACAAGAATTCAACCAACTACGGACCACTTGGTTTAATGAAAGGGAGCAGTAGAGCAACAGAAGTACACTTACATCGCATCAGGCTTGGATACCCATGTGCATGGGGAAATAGGTTTACAGCTTCCGGAAGATGAGAGGAAATGTCAGCACTGTGGAGAAATGCCCGACAGACCACTGGAACATTATCTAACACAGTGCACAGTTACAAACCCAATAAGATATTAACTTAGATTCAACAGAGCAGAAGTTGTTAAGCACATGAGGGGCAAAATCTTACTGAAGCGACCATACGAGTCATAAATACTCACACTCCGCCCAAGTAAAACAGAAACAAGCAACACTTAGTGGGCCAGCCAGAGGCTTAGGGCCCGCGCAGGAATATCTCTGCAAAAAAAAATTAAAAATTAAGCTGCCTCAGATTGTTTACATAGGGAGTTGATTAGTAACTACCCACATCATCTCGATAGTTCAGTAAATTGACGCAAGAGTTCAAATAATGCAAACTGGGATTAGGAAGTTATAGTTACCCGTGTCCAAAAACAAAAAATCCAGGCTAGTGAGATGAGAAAAATTGTTCAAGACTGTATGAACAAAAATGTATGATAACATTTTCTTGCTGAACACAGACAACATGTTATCATATATACAGATTCGAGAACTGCCATTGAAACCTTGCAACAGGAACACATACGTGACAACATCCATCTGATCACAAATGTGATAGCATTAATGCAAACATTCAAACGTCAAACGCTACATTTACGTACCACAGAGTCTATCACAGATTAAAAAAGTAATTAGAAATAGAGCAGTGCAAAAGATGTACAGTGACCACAACACGGCTGTTGCAACATCAGGATCTGCGGGTTGATACAAGAATTCAACCAACTACGAACCACATATTTTGATGAAAGGGAGCAGTAGAACAACAGAAGTACACTTACATCAGGGTTTAATATGTGCATGGGAAATAGGATTACATCTTACAGAAGATAAGAGGAAATGTCAGCACTGTGGAGAAATCCCCGACAGACCACTGGAACATTATCTAACACAGTACACAGTTACAAACCCAATAAGATATCAACTTGAATTCAACAGTGCAGAAGTTGTTGTTAAGCACATGGGGGGCAAAATCTTACTGAAGCGACCATACGAGTCATAAATACTCATACTCCACCTAAGTAAAACAGAAACAAGTAACACTTAGTGGGCCAGCTAGAGGCTTAGGGCCTGCGCAAAAATAACCATGGAAAAAAAAAATGTACGAGGCATTTCCTCTAAGGCCAGCCATCCCTCAGTATTACTGAACCTTACACGTGAGGTAATAAGACTGACTCGTCTTCATAAACATCACCTTTGGGTAACTTTGCTTAAACAAGAGACAAAATACAGGAAAAAAAAGTTATGTTCTCCAGAGAACTTTAATAACTCTTCATGCCTAGCAATTACCATCACTTAAACTTGCAGTGACGAAAATAACGAAGGAATGTAAGCTAATTTACAAGATATTCTGCTACAGGCCAAGCTAATAAGATAAGAATGGGACTCTACATAGGGAAACAGCTAATGCGAAAATATGTAAAACCACTAAACTCTCGAAACAGTGGAATAGTGACAGTAATGATAATACTTTGAGTAGTCTAAATAAAGACTAGACAAGACTTGACCCGTGACCCCCCCAATCACTAGACTAATCCCTTTGCTAGAGATGAAAGAAATCATCATCAAAACTATAAATAAAGTCCCATGGATTAATACGTATAACAGTGAATCGACTTAATCTCGTCTCAATTCTCAGTTCTTAACGACAACAGTGCTCTACCAGCATCGGGCAAATTTACAAAAGTCAAAGCGAAAATAATTTTTTTACCTAAACTGAGAAAAACAGACATGTTCCTGAAGACTATATATATCAATCGCCTTTCTAGAAGCTAGAAGTAAATGTTACGAAAAAAAAATTCAAACTGGTTCAACTATTATCTGGAATATCATCACTAATATACTGAAAATTATGTAGTTTCAGCAGCCAGAGATACACAGACAGCAATAAATAAAATACATGAGGCTTGAGACTGCACACGGAAGCAAAAAGAGGCTCAAGTATTAAACGGAGATGTTAACAAGTTTCTTCAAAGCCGATGGTATGAGGAACTTGTATTCAAATTAATTACCAACTATGCCACATCACAACAGGATTTTTCTTGGGATAATCAATGATTTTCTGGTTAATCAGTTATTCCCACTCTCAACAATAGAAGAGCCGAAGCGTTAATTCCAACATAAGGCGTCCCCTAGATATCATGCCAAGGATTGATATATATTTTTTAAAATTTCCTAATGATCTGCCGAACCAGTAATATAACGACTCCCTCATCTCCCAATTAGCTATCGATGTTATGTTACAATATCGTAGCCAACTGAACAAAGAACAAATTGCGACACAGTCAATTGGAAACTACAAAGAACAAAATATTTTTTTCAGATGTGAAAGAGACTGGAAACTTATAACGAATCCTGACACTAAAAATGTTTTCAATTTGCCGTTTAGAAAATTCGCTCGAAACAGTTACCATTGGTGGTAATGTGAAGTCAACACTGTTGATAACTTAGTAGGTCACGAATATCAACACAATATTCAGCTACGAAATACCTACATTGTTAAAGTTAACCAAACATATACACTGAAAAACCGGGAATGACCAAGGCGCAGCTGGAGAAATTACAGCTTCAAAGACGCTCTACCAGACGTAAAACTTACCAAATGCTAGTTAGGCTGATTTTGATTGTTGCCGCCGAAGGCGGCTAGTTTATTGTGCACCCCATACTCATCCTGTGAGCGGTAGCGCAAAAGCATTACAGAGGGCACAAAAGGTCTTTATCAGACCTCATCTTAGATTATTACATAAACAATTTCTTCAATCCTTCACACCTTATAGATACAATGTCAGCTAGTTACAGAGAAAGTGCTATTACAAGAGCTACATATTTACAGTAAGTCATCATACATTAATGGTAGGTTTTATCGTTAATACATAATAGTGAGGCTGATCCTCCAATATCCTGCTACACAAATCGCATTA